AGACTCCTTGATGAACTTTTCTAGGATTTTCCCTAGGATGGAAGTTAGGCTGATTGGCCTATAGTTACCCGGGTCCTCCCTCCTGCCCTTCTTGTGGATGGGCACAACATTGGCCCTCTTCCAGTCCTCAGGGACTTCTCCAGAGTGCCATGAGTTGTGGAAGAGTTTCACCAGGGGCTCTGCAATGACTTTGGCCAGGTCCTTCAGCACTTTCATTTTGGGCTCCCACTCTGACCTCGGAGTTGGTTTTTGATATAACCATGAGTGTCATAAATCGCACATAGTAAGGCACCCACTCCTAGCATTGGAGTCACATATGTGGACCCTTGCATTCCTCCACTGAAGCCAGTAGGACTCAACACAGGCATATGGGTCTGTCAAGATGGACCCAAATGCATCACATGCACCATTGTCAGAAGAACCCAGTCTTCACTACTGAGCATACAGCTGGGAAGTATGCTTCCATTTGGTGCAAGGCAGCCGTGTTCAAACTGATCCACAGATCACAGGCAGCATGTGGAGCACTTGCTGATAGTTCATGAAGATGTGGCTGACCCATGGCTCCTATTCTTCTTCCCAGCTTCTTTGGTTCATTAAACAAGTTGAAATGACATTAAACCTTTGGCCTAATACTACTTGCCCATGTGGGCAATTACTACTGTAGCCACCTGTTACACAAGGACAAACAGGAGAACGGATGGTCCATGTGAGTGCAAAGGGAAAGAAATGCAACCCAGGAGATGCTGGCTCTATCAGAATGTAACTCACACCATGAAATAATTAGGAACAGCTTGTATAAAGGTGCCCCAAGCCAGCTGTCAGGGGCACACGAGTGACTGTGGTCAATGGATACACGAATGCATGCATGACTGTGGAAATCAGGACTCCTGGAATCTGCTCCTGGCTTCGCTTCATACTTTACTATGTGATCTGAGGAGCAACTCACTTGGCCCATATGCCTCAGTCTTCCCACTACGTAAAATGAAGGTAACACAGCTGTGTCTCCAACTCACCAAGCAGGTTAGAGTTGCAAGCCTGTAAAACGCTGGGAGATCCTTGAACAGCTGGTGTTACGCAAGTGACTAGTATTACTGGATTACCTGAAGAAGGGGAGAGTTTCCAGCACTGCATATGCCCCAAGGAGTGCTCATTCAGCCAGAACGCTGGCTGGCTACACACTCCTGACCCTCCAGTTTGGAAGAGACGGAGCCTGGGACCTCCTGCCCTTGACGTAAGACAGACTCAGAAAACAAACAGCTGTTGCCTAACAGAGGCTATTATATGCAGTGAGCGACTCCATCACGTTAGACTGGAACAGGGGAGGTGGGAGCGAGAGCTGAAAGGGAAACATTTTCCACGACTTCTCTTCCAACATTAATTCACCCAAGCTTTGCTACAAGTTTCTATGTACATGCGAGGCATATCACAACACAGACTTCCTCAGTCGCAGCTCCAACGGAGAGAGAGAGAAGCACTCGGCTTCGCTCCCCCACAGCCGGATGCAGCGAGGCAATACATTGTCTGAGTTAACAGGCGTAACTCCAGGCAGGGGATGCATCACCAACGCCCAAAGGCCAGAAAGTGAGAGGAGCAGGCAGGCAGTGCCAAGACTCATACAGCAGGTTCCTTTCATTATGGTTTTTGTCTGTAAGGCACCAATGCCAAGAACTCTGCTATCACGGTCCTTGTCTTGATCCCTCCAGCCATGAAATGAATGACTCCACAATCTTAGAAAGATGCTTAGACACAGGTGATCCGCGATTGCTCTAGTACTGAAAGCCTTTTCATTTTACCAAACAGGGACTGAATAAGGCCCCAGACCTCTTTCCCCAGAAAAAGGGATTTTTCCAAAGAATTCAACACTGATGCTTCCAGCGGGGAATCTCCACATGCACTCATTTGCTCCCAACTAGATTTGCAAGAACTCAGCTCAAGAGGGCTAGGATGCATCTCAGCTGGAGCTGCCATGTGCAAAGTGTGAGGACAAAGCTGATCTTCACTGATCTGCCTAAAAAGGAGCCGAGCCCTAGAAAATCTGACCCTACCTGTAAAACATACCTGATGTCTTACACATTCCTTCTGAGGTACCCCACAGCTCTGTATCCCATCATCACTTCCTATTACGGAAATGCAGCCACCTCTGTGGTGGAATACAGCAGCTGTTTTACAGCACATTATAAAACTGCAGATGACTTTAAGACAGGAAACAAATATTGCACTCGATTGAAACTACAAGGGAACCTTGCCAGCAGGGCAGTAATTTGCCAAGCTAGGGGCATTTATGATAGCAGGACAAGGGCTGACCAAGGATTACATTAAAACCACATTTCTGGAAAAACTAACAGACACAACAGGTCAGCTGCATTCCTCATCTAGTACAATCCTGGGACATAGGCTCAGCACAGATTCAAGACTGTATACGACTGAGTAACCTACCCCCATTCATAGAATCACGGGCAACTAGTGTTGGAAGGACCTCCGGAGGTCATCTAAACCAACCCCGTGCTCAAAGCAGGACCATCCCCAGCTATATCATCCCCCAGCCCCTTGTTTGTAATTAAGGTTCTGAGGCCCAAATGCTGCTCAACACATTTACACTTGCATCCCTTTTGGCAGAACAGCACTGAACTTCTCCTAAGGCAACTTCCTCACAGAGTCTTACACAGGGATTACCCTGTTTTCTCGCATGCCATACGCCCTGGGAAAAGAGACACACTTGGTGTCTGAAAGGCAGAAGGGGGGAAAAAGATCTTCCCTTGTAGTAAAGTAACTGAGTAGCAGCAGCCGGAGAGTCCAGCCTGCAGATCTTGTGCAGTTACTTTTGCTTTTGCCCAGCAAACATTTAAGTGGGGCAAAAACTGCTGTTACTGTTTCCTTGTTTGTAATGCACATCCCAGTTTCAGGCAGCTGGTTTCTTGGGAAAAGGCAAGAGTGTAGACAAGAATATACAGTCATTTTCACTTTGCCCAAACTGTGGCCGAGTTCATTACACATCCCTCTACGTGATCGCTAACACAGGGAGCTAAAGAGCATCAGAAGTCAGCCTCGCCCATCTCAGTCCCTTATGAGCTTGTCAAATTTGAAACTCCAGCAAGAAAAGCCTTAATTGGAAGTCCTGGGTCTATGTAGAATACAGCAATAGATGCCACTGCCACTAGGGCCACAGAGACGGGCTGTGCACGTGCATACAGCATAACTGTTTGGTCTGGCTTCAGAAACCCCATTAATGCTGTAATGAAGCACAGCTGCATCAGCTCCCCCAGATACAGCACAGGAAACAAATAGGTCTTCAGTCCCAACCAACAAATCAGCACTGTAAAGAGCCATATTTGCCTCCAACACACTGTAGAGGACCTCCTACGCCCCTGGAAGGCTATTACCAAGGCAGTCATTACAGTAGAGACCTAGTATTATAGACCTAGGAGTTAGGGCTCTCAGCAGGGAGTATAACCTTGGGTGATCTGGACAGCACTGGTCTAAAATCAACACATGGCAGCCTCCTCCCCTTCCAGGAAACTGTTTAAAAGAAGAAAGCCAGCACAATCTATCTGTCTGAGCCAAGCTAATGGGATGACTGGTGAGGCCTAACATTGCTGTTGAGGGCATGATGGGCAGAGCTAGGGGTGATGTGGCCCAGGGGGGTGAGGTAGGGCAAGATCTGCTGTCTCCAGCTCACACAGGGAGGGTAAACATGACTGCAGGTGCTCTGATGAGACGGGAAGCAAAGATCTCCCATTCGTGCATTGAATACTTGGGGCCAGGACTGGTTATACTGGGCACTTCCACGGAGAATTTCCTGCATGCTGTTCATGCCCTCTCCCCAGCCTTAGCTTTACATGGAAAGTGTGGTTTAGTCCTTTTTTATGGGAATTAAGAGAGGAAGCAGCTTGGACGTCAGTAATCTGGCCAGCTCTCCAGTACAGAATCACATCCCTGAAAGTAATCCCCCTGCAAACAGGCCACGTCAAAGGAAACAGAAGAACAGAGCTAAGCTGCTAAGGGCCTGTAAACAGGAAGAGGCCTCAGGACACTGCCCCCTTATCTGCTGCCGTCATCCTTGTCTGGGTCTGCTAGCATCTAATTCACTTTCAGTCACAGACACCGTAATACAGGACCTCAGCCACAGACCACATTTACTGTCTTATCCCAATTACCAGTGCTCAGCAGCTGGTCCTTTAAATAATACATGTGTTCCCAGCCACCCATTCTGTATACCCCAGGGCAGGTTTACCATCTGCAAGAACTCAAACAGTGACTTATGGAGGGTGCTTAGCCCTCGAGTAGCTATTTGTGGTCCTTATCAATCCATCCTTTTCTTCTTGTTCAACCCAAGCAAGCATCCCAGCTGCACCAACTGCAAGTACTTTGGGGCAGGAACTCGTTTTTCATTCTGTATTTGGACAGCGACAAGAAAAGCAGGACCCTAGCTCACAACTAGGCACTGCTCCAATACCGATGATAATAATATACGTCTCAGTCCCAGTTACAGGAGCTAGAATTATAGAGGGCAAAGAACACAGCAGTCACCTTTGAAGCACCTAACCAAGCCCTGGAAGAGCCCAGGCACTCCTGATGCAAGATGCAGCCTCGATGGCCTGACAGTTAATTTGAGACAAGGAATATGAATTTGACCGCGGAGCCCTGCTTGAGCCGTGCGTGCAAACCGCATCAGTGCAAGTCTGCGGACAAACAGCAATAACACTAGCAAGCAGACATGTCCGGTCCTAGCTGCACAAGACAGAGGCTGCACACACAAGTGCTTGGAGCAGAAAGGAGAACCTTGAACTTTCCAACAGTCCCCCCTAGAAATACTGGAGCAGCGGGTAGCAATTCCCAAGCACACCACTGCTGCAGAAGTGGTGGCTGGAAAGCTAGGCCTTAAAAGGATGGGCTTTAAGAGAGGAAAACATGATTCCTGGAACACTGGAAGAGGCATGGAAAAACCCCGGCATGAAAACCAGCAGCACAAAATACAGCCTTAAAAATCACAGCCGCCCTTGACAGATGAAAGGCTAGAACCATTTGTTCAGGTGGCGTCTGCTTTTGATGAAGCCAAGAGACGTATGCCCAGATGCTTTCAGAACCAGGTTAATATCCAGGTTACGAAACTGATCTCTCTCTAGACACAAGTTCTTTCTCTTATCAGGCTCAAATTAGCACCTTATCAAGATATGGCTGTTGCCCATCGGGGGAGAAAGGGCTGGGGATTATATCTTTATTGTTTCTTCATTTGCTCCTTCTCATCTCTTTAGGGTCAAACATGGCTGGGTTAAAACATGACAAAAACCACTTTAAAGATATCATGAATGTTATACTTAAGGATGAGCTCCTTGCTGAAACTTTAAGGGCTACTCCATCTCCAAGCTGCAGTGAGGGAGGAAGATTGCATTCAATTAAAATACCCCCAAGTTTGATCTCAGCTCTGCTGCTGAGTTGCTGCAACACCTTAGCAAGGCTAGGCTTTCTGTTATTCTTCTGTTAGGTAGATTGAATTTTGCACGTATTTTGGAAAGGTTAACATTGTTATGAATACCCAGATAATAAACCTAAGCACACGCAGATCCTCAGGTGAAAAGCAGGTGCCGTTTTATTATTCAAAAGGCACTGTCAATTGAAAAACTACATGAAGTTAAATCCAATTATCCATATGGCTGAGAGAGGACAGAGCTGTGTTATAAATAGATTTCTTTCCAGAATGACTACCACCATATTACATAATTAAACCCAAAGCATCTTGAAAATCCTATGTACCTCTATAATGCTGTTAGTTAGCTTTTGTCTTTCCTTTCTTGCCATTAAAATCAAGGTGGCCACATTCACTTTGGTTTAGGATCCATATCACTTTCAGGCTATGGATTCTGCATGGTTTAGGTAGCAAACATTGCAGGATCAA